CTAGCTAAAAAAAAAGTTGAAAGTTTTACAACAAATCCTGTTATGTAATTTTGCTGAACAGTGGCGGTTCAGTTTGTGTCTTACATAAGAATCAGCCTGAAAAGTTTGCTTTTGACTCTGAGCCAAAATAAATACACCACACATACAGTAAATATTCAAAAATATAGTCCCTTAATATACTTTATATAAAGATCACCTCTGTGGACAAAAACATTTTGAAATTCTTTGTTGGAATATCTCCTAATATATATGAAATGTATGGGATGGATGCATGAAATGATGGACAGATAAGGGTTTGGAAAATAGTTGAAAGAAAAGAAAAAGGTAATACTGCTTATCAGAACCAGCAGTAGAAAGTAACAAGATGAAGATGACATCTGTTGATGTGTGTGTTTGACTATTGTAAAATATATATGAATATAATTAGAAGAAAACATTATGAAAAGCACAAGCAAGCAAACTCATGCATTCATGGATACGTCTGTCAACACACACAACCACAAAAAAATAATTGTTTACAGTTTGCTCGTCATTGCACCCAGGAGAAAGTCTTAGTTTAACAATGTCAGACATTTACAAAGCAACATGCAAATTAGATAAACAGCCTGAGAGTAAAAAAGAGATGACAGTGCATCTCAGAAATGAGAGTTTGTTCAAACACTGCACTTTAAACCTGCAGTAACAGCTAGCCCGGCTCCGTCAAAGATAACCACATCTACCTACCAGGATCTATAAGGCTCGCTAATTAACACAACATATATTGACTGTTTAATCAGTTTTAACCGAGCCAGGCTAGCTGTTTCCCCCTATTTCCAGCCTTTATGCTGAGCTAAGCTAGTTAGCTGCTAGCTGTGGCCTTATATTTACCATACAGTCATGGGAGTCGTATCAATCTTCTCATCTAATGCTCATAAAGTACATAAAAAACCACAGTGTAAGTTTGTATGCATTAGCTGTGTGAGACATCCACCCACATCTGTGTATATCTGTATATTGATGAATGGTGACTTCCTTAGTATGCACTCTGTATTGATTATTGCAATTACACACTATTACGGTTCTATTATCCGCGCTGACTGTCTTTAATTACACTAGAGAGCAAGAGGAAGAGTGAAGGAGGAGGAGGAGAGAGAGAGACAGTGAGAGTGAGAGAGAGAGAGACACGGTACAGATAGATAGATGAAGCGAGACACTGCACCGAACTAATTAAAACAGAAACTTTTTGTTTCAGCAAGTTGACAGGGAATGAATCTGGCAGGGAATTAATCTGTCCGCAGGGAACACAGTGAGGAGTTATACACACACACACACACACACACACACACACACACACACACACACACAGGGAGGTGCAGTGCAGAGTGCCGTTGCCATAGTTACTGAGTGTGGCGCCACATCATGCGGCAGAGTTAATGCAGAGGTGTGTGCTGTGTGCGTGTGTGTCTTATTTAGGCTTTCATTATATCACCACTCTGACCTATTCCAACATCCTCTACACAAGCACACAAAGGTTGCTGTGATAAATCCAGAGGGTTCCTGTTGAAATAGCTAAGTCTTCACTATTGGTAACAGCATCCAATCTGTGGCTCTTACCCTTGAGGTGAAGCATCATTTATGCTTATTTAGTCGGTGATCACATACTGGAAGAAAATATTTGGCAAATGAGATAAGCACTTCAAATTGAGGCCAAAGGAAGTGTTCTTGTAACTGGTTATAAATGGTGGCATACTGTAAATAAGAGTTGTTCTGACAGAACCATGAATACCATACCATGAATGTCTATATACAATTAGCAAGGTGCATGTATACATATTTTCTTATTTGATCATTGTAACTGATGAATTAAGATGTAATCTGCATTTAAATGTTGGAGGCAGAGCTCATTACTACATAATGCACAGTTACATAACTAAAGAAGCATCATATTGCACAAGCTGATCCTATGTTTTGTATGTAAAATCTTAATTTGTAAAGTAACTAGTAAATGAAATTAATGTAGTGCTGTGTTAAGTGAGTATAAAGTTTTTAATTACTCATAATATTTCACTCTTGGAACTGTACATAGGTAAATGTACTGTAGTAAGAATGAAACAGAGGGATAAAGAGCAAGATGGAGAGTCCACCACATGCCAGTGGTCAGCACTACAGTAAGTAATCCACGCTGTTCCAACGTACAGTGCTTCCAGCAGTAATCAAAACAGCAAGTTCAGCACAAATTCAAAACACGTGGGAACTGTCCGTCCTCATAGTCCTTTACCTTCACCGATCTCTCTGTTCAAGGAACTGTCAAAAGAGATATACACTAAATGAATTACTGATGCAAGTGTACAAATAATACCAGCTCTCAGTGTCAAGTGCTATCAATTCACTTTCTGTTCTTCAAACCACCTGTGCTTTCTTCTTCAAAAAAAAAAAAAGAAAGGTTTTTCAAATGAAGACGCAAAGGAAGCCAAAGAATTATGTTATGAGCACCAGGGACCATCAGAGATAGAGAATATCAATTAATCTCTGTTGGAGGGATGTGAGTGTCTGAGCTTGAAATGAGCAGGTGTGTCCTTGCTCCTTCATCACACTGTGCACTCCACATGCGTGAGGTGAGTTACCATGTTAACAGCTGCGCCTTTAACATATTATTGCACTTTCACAGACTATTTTCCAAGTCCATTCTCAGCCTCATAACCCGCCCTCTCTCCTCCTATCTTTTCACAAGATGTTGTAAAAGGAAAACCCACAGTAAGGAAAACTAGCTGCCCAGTATCTAATAACAAATCACTGTCGCTGTAAAGACAGGGTATAATTGAAAGCGGTACTATGGCGGCTCATGATGGTTGTGTCCACCTGGTCAGAAGACCCGGTATTTGAAAAACCCTGAAGGAACAGGCAAGAAGGATCTCATCTATCAGTGGGTAGAGAATTGGTGGAGAAGTAAAGCTCTAAGTTGACTAAGACAGTACTATATTTGAACAGCGCACCAGTGAGCGCAGTGTAATTTAACTCCACCGTTGACAATTCTGATTGGATTAAAAAAATTCAAACAATCCACATAATTTTTTGAACTGTCTTGAGAATGATAGCAGGTTCAGTCAATCATTCATCCTGTGTTGGCACAGTGAAATAGAGTGTGGAAATAGCTCTGACAATATGAGAGAATCATTTTATTAAACTAAAGCTGACTACTGAATACATGACTGAATACGTTAACTGTCTAAAGACCATCCCTTTCAGTTCAAACTAGTAACATGTTGAGTAAGTACAGTGCTCATTGAAGCAACACACACACACACACACACACACAGTACAGTGTAGTATATTATAGTATAGTATAGCATAGCACAGAATAGTATAATATAGTACAGCATAGTATAGTATAGTATAGTCTAGTGCAGTATAGAATAATATAGTACAGTATAGTTTAGTATTGTTTTAGTAAAGTCTTAAAATCACACACTAAAACTGTTCAAAAAGCCTGATTCATGTTTTAGACATTTCCTTGACGGGAATTGAACCTCTGAAACTCTGAGACTAGTGTTCTTTCTATCAAACTTATTCACACAGGAACATAACAATTGAAGACCATAGTGCCATATTAAAACCAAGGCTGACATCTGCTCAGTCAAACTGATGTAGTACTGCTTCCGATTCCTGTTATTTCTTACCATTTCCGTTATTTATTACAACATCCTCTCCGGAATGAAAATATAGATTAATTCTCTTTCCTCCAATTGTTCAAGTCTTACAAATATCATAAAAAATTAATTCATAACATCGGGCACTTCAGCTTTGTGAAAATTGATAACGTGCTTCTGCATATCTATGCAGTAACAACGTTGTCCTGCAGACATAAATCTCAGATGCAAGCAAGTCTTTGTTTCTCCCAGAAAATGTGCTCTCCTTCTTTCTGTGGTGAAAAGTGTCGCTGTCTTGAGGAGTTATGTCTAAATGAAAGTGTGTGACATGTTTATTTTTCAGTAGCTGGTGAAGTGAGGGAAGACGAGTTGTTCAGTAGACAGAGTGGTGCATAGTACACACACAGAGACACAGACACACACACTCTATGCTGTTTAACCTTTTTTTTTTGTTATGGACAATGTTTTGAAAAGGTTTATGATGCAGAGACTCCAGCAGAGAGAGGTAGACATACAAATGTCTGGCTCTACTTCTTAAAGGCAAATCGTCCCTGCATGTGTTAGATCACAATCATCAGAAGGCCCACAAAATAAGTAATAACTATGAGAGTTACTTTATACCGTTTTATCCAGTTAAACATTTGTGAACTAATATGCCGCAGTAGCTTCTGTAGTCATTCCATGTAACCCTGCATACAGACAGGCACAACGACAGACAGACAGTAACAGTGAAAAATAGATTGGCAAGCAAAGACAAAGGCTTCTATAAGTGTTAGAGGGTAAATATAATTACACATCCAAAATGTCAAGAAGCAAAGTTCCCTTCTTCTCATCCGAACCTTATGTTATATCTTTAAATGGGCTTAAAGACTTTTGCATACCTTCAGCATCACATTGCTGCATTCAATCTAATTCACACAAAGATGCCATGTTAGTCCATGGTAAGGTATAGAAAGGATTGAAGGCTGCAGTGTAAGTAGGTTAGACCCCAGGGGCCCTAAAGACACTGTCTGGTTTCAAACTGCAAAAGAATTATGACAGGGTTGCAACATCTGCTGCCTGAAAGACAAGACAGTGATGGATGGCCAGGTGTGTTTTGTGTGTGTCGCAGTGCTGCATACACACGTACAGTCCAGGAAACAGAACATGCATATATGTGCACATTCACACACGCCCACGAGCAGACTGACTGAGGCACCAGTTAAATAAGCAATGCACACATTTGTGACAGATGGTAATTTCAATTTACTATGAAGCACCAATGAGCAACGTTTGCCAAACTCACAAACATACGGATGGCTGTGTGCAACACACACACACACACACACGCACAAACTGACAAGAACACACTAACTTGTTTGTGATGGCTCACTGTTTAATACCTGTCAACAACTTCCATATGAATGCATTTCCAGTTGAATAAATAATCCCATCAGAGGAGATAAAGATTAATGATGTATTTATCATCCGATGACAAGAGCTCTACGCCACACATAAAAGATCAGTATCTAGATGTCAATGGAAAATTCTATTTGATGAGATTACTGAACAGTAGGAAGCATAATACCACTTCAGTGTCAGGAAAATTAATGCTACATTCATAAAACATTAAATGAACCACATACTTTGTAGACATGAACTTTTCCAAGATGAACAGATACCTCCTATAGTCATGAATCTGTACATATTAATATGAAAAGACAGAAATAGCTGTTCTCTTCAACACACTACTAGACACACTTGTCAACTTATGTGTGAGCCTGAATCATAATGTGTGTCAACACTGTATACCTTTAGGCCAGTAGCCAGTAATCCTACAGTGAGGAAAAGCACAACTTTGCCTATAATTATACTGTAGTTACCTTATATATGGTCATTACCGGGATCACTTATCATGTATACAGTATATAGCAAGTTCAAAAGATCCCGGCATGTTGTGGCAGGAGTACCAGAGCACAGGAAAAGGCAAGTGCTGACAGTGAAACCTAATCTCAAGTATTGCTTGGGTGTAACACATCACAGTCTGTGTAGTTTGTGGGGAGATAGCAACTAATGTGTGGTTTTGCGGTTGACTGTCGACTTCATTTCATTTTCTTCCAATGTAAAAATTTTATTCTTAAAAAAAGCTGTTACTTTGAATATTTACAACTTTCTTAGATGTCAGATACCCTAAAACCTAAAAAGCTATTGCTCCATGTTTGCATCACCTCCCTCTGTGACTGCTGCTTTTGGGCTGGGTCTTGGAGAAGGAGCCGGGCTGGGGGCTGCAGGCGTCTTGCGTCCAGTGGGGATCGGTGGCAGGACGGGCTTGATGTTGGATCCAGGACGTCTATCAGAAGAGGGGGACACAACCGCAGCTAGTCTATCCGTGTCTGGATGGGGGTCATTGTGGTTTTGGTCTGAAATAGAAATGTTTTCTTTAATATAGGATATGGAAACACAGCAAAAAATCTTTAGAACCTCATAAAGTCAGCTTTATTATCTTATACCCAGATGTACCATTTTGGTGATTTACAGTGTTTTTTAAACTATAAAAGGAATTACTAAAGTACTCATGAAAAACTGACAAAAAACTAAAATTTTTAGTTATAAGTTTTATAAAATAATAGGTGTACAATAAACAACTTATTAAACAGTCTTTTTCCCTGTCCTCTAGCAGCTCAAAAATCTTTCTTCTCTTTGATTTTATATATATTTTTTATTTATATATATTTTATATATACACACTGTATATATCAACACAGAAATTCCATAAATGACAAAAAGCAAACAAACAAGCAATAATAACCTTTTGGTGTTTCCAAGGCGTGTCCCAGGAGAGAGATATCTAGCGGTTCCACTAAGCCAGACAAGGCCCCAGCTGAACTGGGAACAGACAGTGCTGAACTGGCACAAGACTCATCTGAGCTGCTTGTCAAAAGAGGAAAAAGAAGGGATAGAGGGGAAGATAAACCACGGATACAAAGTGGGGGGAAAAAAAGAGAAATGAGGACAGAAAAGGGAGGAAGACTTCCATGCAGGTTGTTCAGGGGAATGGTGACAAAAGTGAGAAAAACACAAAAACTAGAGATGTGGTTTTGGAAATGTTACCATCATACTGGGCAGGGGATCAGTGTCCCCCTTAGTGTTCATGATAGCACAAACCAGAGCTGGAGATAGTGACAGCATTTTTGTGCAAATGCTACAATTTCAGTTTTATGATAATAATTTGGGGATGATTATTGGTACGCAATAAACAAACAGATACAAGTTTTTGTCATTTATTTTCCGCAACTAGACCGCTCTATAATGCTTGACCATAAAAACGCAAGAACACATGCACACCAACACACAGACTACACAAAAATCCCATCATACAACAGGATCTCCTGTAACAATATGTGAGATAGAAACACACAAGTAAAGGCACATCCCTGTTAAGAGCATTACAAGTAGACAGGTGTCTGGAATCCTCTACAGAAATACTGAAGGTCTGAGTAATGCTAACTGTAAACACTGGGGGCATGTATCACTCAAGACTGCGTTGACAGAACTTGAAGATTTTTAACAAGTTGTGTGAAACTTGCCTTCTCAGAACATGATCCCACAGGCAACAAATTAATTTGACTGAACACTCACAGTATTTCTGCGTGTATCTTTAATGTCTTCTTTTAAGAAGAAGAAATGAAGTAAAATGTTGCTAATTTGTACAGGCGAAAGAAAGCTGTGTGCTGCTGCATGCACCACACACCCACATAACCACAAATATTATGTCAATGTATGACTAATTAAATCCATATTTGTGCAGCAAGCCTGTTTATTTAGTGTAAGTGTACTAAGCAAAAGCTGGAAAATATGAATTCATGAGGGGGTGTCTTTGTGTGTAAGCAAATGCATGTCTTGTGCATGTGTGTGGGATGTATACTCAAATGTGTCCCCACATGGTTTGTACCAGTAAAATGAACAAAAAGTGAACATATGTTGCAAAAACAGACCTAGAGAGAAAAGAATACTACCACAAAGCAGCTTCCTGCTCCTACATTTTCAGCTTGAGATTGTGTTTTATGAAACCACAAGGCTTCTTCTGAATTCTCTCCCCTCATCATAAATCAAAAAAAGCTATTATTATGGATTTAGAAACCATGTACAGAGTGAAATCTTATACAGCTTTGAAGTACGTCTATGCATCTGTTATTCTCATACAGTAACATCTGGCCTTAAATGGGAATTTTAACTGCATGGGTATGAATGTATGAGCACCTGTAAGTATGTGTGTGTGTGTGTGTGTGTGTGTGTGTGTATGTGTCCTTACCTGCTGTCCTCACTAAAATGAGTACCAGCATCATGATGCTGCAGTGATGATGGTGCTGTTTGAGGAGAGCTGTGATAAACAAAAAATAAGACTAAATTCAATAATTCTTCTTCACCAGTATAAATCACAGAGAAAAGCAATTTCACACACATTAACACACAGTCCACTAGAATAAAATATGCAATCATTCACTCTTGTTTTCATGCATATTTGGGGTAGTTAGAAGAGGTAACAGGTACTGGTATATTTTAGGACAACTGAGTGGAGAGCACGACTAAACGAGCCCATTATATTAACAAACAGTTAGATTCAAATAATTTGGGCACCTGCCATTTCAACCTCAAGGTCAAACACTAACCCACAACAAATCATCAAAAAGCAGTTAGGACAAGAGCTCCAATTAAATCAATTTGGCCCAGTTGAGAGTGCCCACTTCAAATTAAGCACTGGAGTGCAGTAGAGTGCGTGCTACTTATATTGAACCTTTTGAAGAGCTGGCTGTAGACCCCTGGACTCTTCCCCACTATAGCCTCTCTCACCAGCTGCTCACGCCTCCTGATGGAAGCCAGCTCCTGCAGAGAGGAGAGGGGAAGAGAAGGAGGAGGAAGAGGAGAAGTTAAGATGAAGTACAAAGGTGAGATGAAGGAGAGACAAACAGGGATTGCAGATGAGAAAGAGGAGAGGCAAGTTGATGTGGAGGGTGATTAAAAGGGACAAAAAGGGGTGGAAAATGGGAAGCATAAGTAATGCACGGCAGTAGAATGAGGAGGAAAAGGAAAGCCAGCATCCTGTCAGAGGACTGCAGATTATTTTTCCATAAACCTGATATAGTCAAGATGTCTGTTTAGCATTCAGTTACAGGCTTCATTACCAGTAAATTTTTCATCAGGCATGTTGTAACTCACAGCGGTGTTCTTCTGAGGGCTGAGCTCTGCTTGGATCTTGGTAAAATAGTTTCTGTAGGAGGAATCTGAGGGGTCAAGAGTTTTGGCAGAGTGTGACGTGAGTGTCCTTGATCCTGACCTCGACGAAGGTGAAGGTGGCTTCTCCTCTGGCTCATGACTTGAGGCTGTGAGAGACAGATATTGTATATCAATATCAACACTGTGTGTATGTATGATGGTTAGAGCATACAGGCACAAAATGCATATATAAACATATAATGTACAACACAGAGCATGAAGATACAACCAAATCTAATTTATAATCACCTTAGTAATTATTCAAAGTGGCGCTCCAGTGATTCAGTATTACACTTCCATAAAATTGAGGGACAAATTAAAAATGCTCAAGATCAAATGGAAATTACTGAAGTAATGTCACTTGAGGAAGTTTTCAGACTTTACAAAGTTTCTCCAGAGCCACAGAAAACATCATGCAACAGTTTTAATGGGCTGAGTAGTACTGCTTTGGACTAGTAAATTGATTTTGACATGTAAAATTGGTGGCGTGCCCCCTAAAAACAAATGGTAGGGGCACCTAATTGTACTTTGCACCCTGTGCCTTTACAAAATTAGTGTCCTGATGCTTTAAGTCTGTTGATTTTGTTTGAACAAACAAACAAATACACACCTGTGGAGGTGTTGTCAGGGGATGCTCTGTTGTTTTCTCCTTCCTGGTCCGCTAGCAGCAGGTACTCCTTCACTACCTGCTTTAGTGTCTGGTAGGCTTCTTCCCAGTCATCTAGACACACACACACACACACACACACACACACAAAACGCGAAACAACACCACACCGAGAAACACAACCACCCCCACTACAACACAAAAACCACACCACACACAACACAAAGCACAACCCACAACACAACGAACACAAAAACACTCCACAACACCAAAAACAACACAAAAAAAACGGCGACACCACACCCAAGACACGAAACACAAACAAAACAAAAACACAACACAAACACCACAAAACAACACCAGCCAACGGACCACCAATAAAAAAAAAGATCTTGGGTCGCGGTGATAAAACAAGAAGCCCAATGCATCTCCCATCAAACAGTAATGACTCAAAGATATGGGAATGATGACCTTAGTGTAATGAGGTGCTAGCGAGCAGTGCATAAAAGTGATGAGTGTCCCGCACTCCCTGTATGTTGATCTCATTAAGAAAACAGCTAACATGTCTGAGTGCTTTCATGAGGGAATGATAAACACAGCTATTCTGTAGCTACATGCCCTTAATACATGTGGTAATTGGATTGAAAGTGTAGTGTATGGATTTTAGTGAGGTGTGTTTAATTTATCTAAGGCTATACCAATGATGCCTGGACTCCACTAAGCCGGGGTGAGACAGGATATCTTTAGCTTTGCGACACTTCAATGACAAACTGCCTGTGAACAGAGCAATCAGAGCAAGACCTCCCAATTTCTTTCTCCCAAAAATGATATCCAAAGGTTGAACATGTACAAAGATAAAATATCTCCCCTGGGAATCAATTAAGTGTTTTCTTAGCTTAAAATTGATGTTTGTTGAAAATGAATTGTAAATATTTATAACACTGTACTGCAATTAAACATTAATTGACTAATTAGTAAAATGGATTGAATTAGCCACTGGGGAATATTAAATTACCATTAATGTCTTCTGAAATGTAGATGAGTGAATACACTTAATGCTGTAATAAAAATAATTCAGTGACAAACTGCTTCCTTGCCGTACCAGAGGGAATAACGTTATCGAAGAATCCCGGCCGTTGCCTGTTGGTGTTTGCGTAGAGCTCTATACGTGACACCGCTATGTCAATCTGTGCTGGGGTGTAGAGACCACGGCTTTTTAGGTGGCCTTTGTACTTCTCCACTTGGGTGGGGATGAGCAGGATGAACCGAGGCTCGAAGTAGCTGTTCTTCAGACTGAACACACCCTGTGGGGACAGACGAGCTGTTTGCTTTTCTGTAACAAAGCAGGTTTGATATTCTTTTTATTCCAACTTTAAATTTTTGTTTAATTGTATGATTCACAGTCACTCCTTGGGGGGTTACAGCTAAGGAGATTGTGGGGGGTTTGGTAATTAAAAGCACAAAAGTTGAAATTATTTCCCAGATGATTAGGTTTGCTGAAGATGGGGTTAGCTTATGCTACTGGGTGAACCAATCAGTTCACCCAAATTACAAGCATACTAACACATTTTCACATTTACTATAAATACAATAATTGTATGAACATGTATGTATGGTACATGCTATATACATCCTATGTTGCTGTTAGACTGGCTTTATCGACCACATTCGTTATTAGTCAACTTGCTGAACTCTCATACATGAGTTTTGTATATGCATACCTCCAGCTCCATGTGCACACAGCAGGCCAGTCCTTCTCTGGCCACGTCCTCTATGGCATCTCTGGTCAGACCATAGCTGTGACCCCCATAAGGCATGGTCTGGATGAACTTACCCTGAAAGGGAATTTCCGGTTATGAGGGGAAAGAATGAGAGAGGTGTGTGCACCGCTTTATTGCCCCACATTCATCATGGTACAACGAATAGAAACGTTATGAGCCACCTTTATCATCTAAAGTGGACATAATACTAGACCCACATACACAACTCCAGGGTGTTCTGTCAAGATTAACAACCTGAAGTCATTGGCCCACCTGTGAACTGAACTTTTTACCTCGTGGTCAGGGCAAAAAGATCCCTCTTTTGTTACCTTTCACACATGACCTCTGACCTTTTGTCTGCCAGCCTTTGGGGCAGTTTTTCTTGAACAGCATAGTATATAACTCTCAACAAGATTATGAGCAAATCCAACAATTCTTGGTCTTTGGTTTGTGTTAGTTAAATTGAATTCAGATATATAAATAAAATTGAAACTATTTGTTATGATTCTCAAGAAAAAGTTGTCCTGTGAATTCTATTACAGTGATTTAGTAGCTGTTTGTGCAAATTAAATTTTGGAGTGTTGTTTTTAAAGCGTTGATTTGTTTTCTACTGTTTTACTGAAGCCTATTTTTATACCACTGCTGTGGTTTGCTACATTAAAAACACAGCAACTGGAGAGCACAGACTTTGTAAAATCAACACTGAAACTGGCCTGTCAATTAAATGGCCACATGTGGAGCCAGTAAACAGTGGGCCAACAAGGGACTGGTAATCTAACTTGTCAAGGTTTACCCCAATAGAAATAGTTTCAAATCTGTCCTTTCTGCCTTTTAGAACTGCATACATTATGAAAGTTTACGTTGTATCATAATAGTGCAGGAGAAACTCCTTAACTGTGACACACTGCATTTTATATTTTGTTACTTTTTTCTCACAATTTATATAAGATACACTATGTGTCCTCTGAAGAGGAATGTAAGCTCCCTCCAACATTTTGTGTGTGTCCCTTAACCTTTCTAAGTAGGTCATTGAAAAGTATCTAAACACACAATTACAAACGTGATTCTTGTGATTCCATATTACCAGACTACTAGCTATTCAGATATAATTACACAGCAGGCCTACTTTTTGTTTACGGCACAACGAAGACTATAATAAGTACCAAGGACTGCTGATTGGGGTTAATTTTGTATAACAACAGCCCCAAGAAGTGGGTTCAAGAGGTTATGATTGCATAGTTACTGACGAACAAATCTGAGGGAAAAAGGTTTGAAGAAGAGGAGGGCAGCTGACACATGAAAGGTGAGTGCAAGAAGAATAAGAAGGGGAGGACAGGACAGCGATAAACCAAGTAGTTGGCAAGAGAAGAATGGAGGGTGAAGGTGAAAAATGGACAAAGAGGGAGGGGCAGACTGTCTAGTTAACCTGATCCACTTCCTCTAATGGAGTAGACAAAAGGCATCAATACCAGCCCAGTCCTTGCTGTAAAATTGACTTTGTGACCCCAACCTCTATCCATCATCCCCCGCCACTCTTACATAACATGCAGTTTGACAAGAGGGACGAGATGAAAAACAAATGTGTCCAAAACCCATGGAACCATTTTTCTAAAGCCCCAGGTAAAACTAATCATCTCATCTACTCAAATCATTATGGCCCGTGAGTGAAGAAACTTGCTGAAGCAGTGGTTCCATTTAATTATCTTGTGGGCAAGTAGTGCTATGTATGAATGACTTATGAGAGTGTCCATTAAGATTATTTTGAGTGCAGAACTCAAAATAACCTTGTCACCTTCTCAGTAACTTCTAGGGCCTGTGATGACAAAAAAGGAGCTTAATGTCAAGCTAACAAACCATGTGAATCATGTGCTGAAAGTCTTCCTCACTGACAAAATGGTAATCAATTCCATTCTCCTCTCCAAAGTAGGGCCCCCTGGTGGTGTGACAGGTTCTGTGGAAACACACACAAAGTAGAGAAACACTCATATCTTTCATTGTCATATCTAGTCATATAATTTATGAGGTCTTAGTATGAGAAAATCCTAGACCTGCAACCACTAAAGAGGACCAGTGAGGGGCAAAACTTCAGAACAAGACCCCTGGACTTCTGGAATGCTCAAGACAGTAAAACAAACCACCAGCTGAAAACCAGGAACATGCCATTACTTTAAGATGGAGGTTTGATTCGTTTAACTCTGTATGTGTGCCCCTGCATTTAAAGGATGGCTGCAGAGTTTTAGAAGCATGTGATACACAAATGACATATGCACATTGGTTCCTTTACTTAACTTGTTATTTATAGCATCCTGGCATATCTTGAAAATCACTCCATAATCAAAATGTATTATTATTATTATTATTGAAAGAGTTTTTGGTTGCTTTAATCATTTCATCTCTCCACGCTGGCCATAAGGAGATCATGTAATATGAGACTTCAACAGTCTGAGTTTGACAAACTCACTGTGTATCTTCCAAAATAAAGTAGTTGTTTTTGTATGAAATTCCTTATTTGTGTTTCTAGGAAAGAGCTTCCCTGCTGAGTTGTGGTGGAGGGATAAGCCCTGTTATTTACATTGCTGGGATACAGCACCGGCCATTAACATACAAGCGACAACCAGGACCAATATGAAGACCTGTTTTTTGGCTACTTCTGAAGCAGCCGAAACACCATTATAGCTGTGGCTAAACTTAATTATGCGATTTGGTACAGAACGAGGGCTGTGGATTTTGTCCCCAACTCCTTATTGTTCAACTGTGCAACAAAGAAATCACTTCAGGGTCAATATGGAAAGGAGGAATGATTACAGCAAACAATAACTCTCTCAATGTACATACGACATGTGAGTAATATATTGATGTGGAGTTGAAAAAAATCCAGAACAATCTTTAAGGTATTCAGGATTAGTTGATTCCTTTATTTCATTATGTAATATGTATATTATATATTTTCTTATATAAGGGGTCCCCAAACTACGGCCCGCGGGCCACATCCGCCCCGCCAAAGCAATTGGAGTGGCCCACTTAACGATCCCAGACAATCCCTCTAAACATCAACCAATTTTTATTAAATTGCATTTTCCTATCATAACATCATAACATATCCGTACTTAAAGGTTGGCATTCTAATTAAAATTGACCATAGTTATGAGCTATTTATAGTTAATAGTGGCTCATCTTCACCTCCTCACACAATGTTATATTCTGACGTGACTTTGATCGTGACCGAGCCAGCGTCAAGCTGCAAAGTTCTGAGGTGGGAATCTGTCATGAAGGTGGTTGTGTCCTGCATAAACTTCATCAGAGCAAACGGACTTAAACACAGGCAGTTCCAAGCCTTTCTCTCCGAGCTAGAATCAGCCCACGGAGACGTGCTTTACTATGTACTATGCTTCCCTCCCAAATGAGACCTATCCCAACATAAGAAAGCACGCAACAAAGATGTCCACAGTTTTTGGGAGCACATATATCTGTGAGCAAACTTTTTCACACATGAAGCTGATAAAAAATCCGACGAGATCAAGTCTCACAGATCAACACCTGCATCAGTCTCTGAGACTGGCTGTAACTGGAATGGAACCTGACATCGATCTCCTCACCAGTCAGAAGCAAGCCCACAGCTCACACTGATATGGTAAGCCTACTGATTTCAATAGCAATAGATATTAAAAAATGTCATTATAGTAATGCTCTTTTTATAGGCAACATGTTCTACCTGATTATGACCACTAACCACTATTTCTGTATTAATATAATTTCACTACTGTAAAGACAGAACACTTACCGTTTTTTAACTCAACTGTACCTGTTACAAAATCACATCACCTCATTCTTATTTGAACATTACCATCAATTTTGTGTTGTTATTTTCTTATAAAATAAATGGAGTATCTGTGGTACTTTCAAATAAACACATGTGAAGACTTTTATTACTTTTTTTTTTGCAATATTATCAATTGTAATCTCCAAATAAATACTGGTTGTCACCCTGGCCCATATCATTTCCTGTTATAGACTAACCTCGGCCCCCATCTCAGAAAGGAAAAGTTGATGTGGCCCCCACTGAAAAAAGTTTGGGACCGCTGGTGTGGCACCTCAGCATATGAGAAGATGACCCATGGGCGGCCCTTCGAAGGGAGCGACTCAGAAGGCTGGGGCTGAACATATGTTACTCAGCGTGACGAGCCGAGTCCGTAGAACACCCAATTTGTGGACTTTCTGACAAATATTTTTCGTCGCACGCAAGCGGGCTCTGAGACCGTTTAACGAGGAATCTTCCGAAAGGGAGCGGACATTAGAAGCTGGGGCTGACATTATGTTACTCAGCGTGACGAGCCGAGCCGTAGACAACCAAAATTTGTGGAACTTCGAGAAGCATTTTTGGAAACTTATTAAAACACAGAAGTGTTAAACTGTGTCCCCGCATGCATATCAGAGACCGCCCATGCGGCCCTTCGGAAGGGAGCGACTCAGAAGGCTGGAGCCTGACATATGTTACTCAGCGTGATGAGCAATCCGTAGACACAAAAACTTGTGGACTTTGACAACTTTTCCGTTGTGACATTCAACACTAGTCTTAATCGGTGTGGCCACTCAGCATAAATGAGAGATGACCCATGGTCCGGCCCTTTCGGTAAGGAGCGAATCAAGAAGGCTGGGGGCTGTGACATATGTTACTTCAGCGTGACGAGCCGAGTCCGTAGGACACCCAATTGTGGACTTTTTTTGACAAAATTTTTCGTCGCAGCAAGCGGGCCTGCGGAGACCGTTTAACGAGGCATCGCCTTCCGAAGGACGACTTATAAAGCCTGGGGCTGACATATGTTTACTCAGCGTGACGACCGAGGTCCGTAGACACCAAATTTGTGGACTTCAGAAATTTTTTTTGGAAAATTATTAAAACAGAAATTTAAAACCAGTTGTCCCCGGCAGCAATATGAGAGACCCCCATGGTCGGCCCTTCGGAAGGGGCGATCCAGAAGGCCTGGGGCTGACATATGTAATTCAGCGGACGAGCCGAGTCTGTAAAGACAACCAAAACTTGTGAGACTTTGGCATTAACTTTTCCGTTGTGACATTACACACTAGTCTTAAATGGTTGTGGCACCTCAGCATAATGGAAAATGACCCAATGGCGGCCCCCGGCGCCCCCCCCCCCGGGCACAGGCATTGCGCCCAGCAAGCAGAAGCTAGCCGCCCGCCGCCTCCCGCCGCTCCCCCTCCCGGCACAGGCATTTGCGCCCAGTCAAGCAGAGCTTGCGCCCGGCGCCCGCCGGCGCCCCTCCCGCATTACCATCAGTTTGTGGTGTTACTTTCTATAAAATAATGGAGTATTGTGGTACTTCAAAGATGAACACATGTGAAGACTTTTTTATTACTTTTTTTTGCAAATCCAGGTGGTGCCAAAGCCAAACGTAAGGGCAGCTACATACAAATTATCATTGAATCTCCACAATAATAACTGGTTGTCACCCCTGGCCCATAATCATTTCCTTTATATAGAACTAACCTCGGCCCCATCTCAGAAAGGATAAGTTTTGATGTGGCCCCCCACTGAAAAAGGTTTGGGGACCGCTGGTGTGGCACACAGCACTATGAGAGATGACCATGGCGCCCCTTCGGAAGGGAAGCGACTCAGAAGGCTGGGGCTGACATATGTTACTCAGCGTGAACGTGCCGGAGTCCGTAACCCATTTGAGTTTAAATACATTATATTTAGCATCTAACTTAACAGATTTACGCGCTGTCCCCGCAGCACTTCAGAGACCCGCCATCAACACGCGGCCCTTCGGAAGGGAGCGACCTCAGAAGGCTGGGAGCCTTAATTGTTATTCGCGTGACGATCCTGTAGACTACCCAACTTGTGGAATTTTGGACAATATTTAGATGTATAACATCATATCTTAATGTGTTATATATGACGAAATGAAACCCATCGGCGGCCTTCGCCGGCGCCCCAACCCACCGGCATCAGGATTCAGCGCCATACCGCCCGCCGCCCGCCGGCTCCACCCCTCCTTCCGGCACAGGCATTGCGCCCAGCAAGCAGAGCTTGCCGCCCGCGGCCCGCCGGCGCCCCTTCCCCGGCATACCATCAGTTTGTGTTGTTACTTTTTCTATAAAATAAATGGATATCTGTTGCGTACTCAAATGAACACATTGAAGACTTTTTATTACTTTTTTTTTGCAAATCAACAGGTGTGCCACAAAGCCAAACGAAGGGCAGTACAACAATTATCATTGTAATCTCCCAATAATACTGGTTGTCACCCCTTGGCCCCATATCATTTCCTGTTATAGGACTAACCTCGGCCCCCATCTCAGAAAGGAAAGTTGATGTGGCCCCCCCTGAAAAAGGTTTGGGGACTCGGGCTGGTGTGGCCCACAGCATATGAGAGATGACCCATGGCGGCCCCTCGGAAGGGAGCGACTCAGAAAGGGGCTTGGGGCTGACAATATGTTACTCTATCGCGTGACGAAGCCGAGTCCGTAGACACCAAATTGTGGACTTTCGAGAAATATTTTTTGGAATATTATGTAAAACACAGAATTTAACCGTTTCCCCCGTTTGCATAGTGAGAGTCCGCCCATGGCGGCCCCTTCTGAGAGGGTAGCGACTCAGAAGGCTTGGGTCTGACATATGTTACTCAGCGTTGCGACCGAGTCCGTAGACACCAACTGTGCGACTTTGGACCAAAACTTTTTCCGTTGTGACATCACACAGTGCTTAATCGGTGTGGCATCCTCAGCATATGAGGAGATGACCCATGGCGGCCCTTCGGAAGGGAGCGACTCAAGAAGGCTTGGGGCTGACATATGTATAAACTTTCAGCGGTGTCGAATGGCGCGTACGAAGCCGAGTCCGTAGACATACCCAATTTTGGAACTTTTGACAAAATTTTTCGTTGCAGCAAGCGGGCCTCTGGAGCGTTTAACGAGGAATCCCTTCCGAAG